AAAGAATTTTTATGTCTATTTTGCATAGTGTACCAAAAATGAATCATTAATATTTTTCAATAAAAACCCTATAAGATATGACTTATAATTTTTTTTAATATTTTTCCCGATTTCCACTCATTTGAAAAATTATAACCCTATTTTTTAAATAAAATTCATTAATTCATGCATTTAAGGGTTAAGTTCGTATCATGTTTATTGCACTGTCGTCGCGGAAACTATGTTGACACCTTTCCAAATGGAATAACTTTTTCAACCGATCTCTGATTAATTTTCAAAATTCAGATTTATTGTAATATACGTATTTGAACGAAATTGAATTTTACTAGGACGTTTAAGATGCGAAAATGTTCAAATACCATCCACTGTGATCAATTTTTTAACTTTAAATTTTAATTTTTAGTACTTGAATGATGATTTTTCTGACATACCTACCAGCAATTCTGTGCAAATCTTGCAAAAATTGTGATATTGCTATACAAAATCAAATTGAAATAAAAATCGTTATGCTGCTGTGAAATTTTGTTAGAATTAATGAATAAAAGATCTTGTGCTTTTATTTATGTATTTCACGTGATTCCATTACGGTATGAAAAAAAGATAATAATTAAAAAGAAAGGCCACTTCGACATGATTATATTATAGTGTTACCGTATCGACGACATCCGAGTACAAAGGGTTAAAGATGGATCAAACGACTTGAATTATTTTGAGATGTTAGACTGACTGGATTACTAGATAACGAGGGGACAAATGTTTGGAAAAATTGCAGTTGGTTAGAATGACAACGAAAATAAAAGAATTTTCGATCTTATTGTCTAATCTCAAAATGAAAATTTGAACGATGTGTAGTTTATAGGTCTTTGTAGATTGTGTTCCACGTTTTTCGACCGATAAATGTAAGCAATTTCGAGATTTTCACATCAATCGGATAAACAAAATTCGGAAAAAAATCATACGTTTATTCTTTTTAAATAAAATAAATATAATAAATTTAAACATTCATTCGATCATTGTCAACTGAACTAGTCAATCTAGCATCTCGAGACAACTCAAGTTATTTGGTGAAATATTAAAAACATTGTTGCATTTTAAAAGATGTCCGAATATTATCGTTCTCACTGTATTCGGTTTTCACGCTGCTATATCTGGAAATGATTGCACGTTTCTGTGTGGAACGCACATCTACATAGTTATGCTCAGTAAAGAGACGGGAAACCTCTGTGGTTAACGAAACAAGTGAACGTCGATGCTTCGAGTATCCGGTGTAAATTAATTTTTAACTATACTAGTTTCTATTTATAAATATTTTTACATTTCTTAATCTCCCTTTTTTCCATTTTTACTTTACGAATATATTGTTCTAATATTCATTCTTTTGCTCATTACACTTGCATTCTCTTCAGTTTTATACCAACCCTTTGAGGTACCCATACTGTGACAGAGTACACCTAATTGAACAAAAATAGTGTTAGAAACTAATTTAACTCTGAGAGGATGTCCTGTTCTCTACAGGTACATTACGCTCTTTGATAACATGTGCAAAGAATTCAGCGATACTAATTTTTAGTTTAGAGTGAAATGATTATTTCGAATATTACACATTAAGGAATTAAATGTTTTCAAATATTGTATTTATATTTGCACGGATACAAAAATATCACTGTGCTCAAATTAAAGTAGAATTGCTTACGGAAATATAAATAAACTGTAATTCAAGTAAATAAATAATTAATATGGTGAA